GAATCAAACATGGGTCATTTGGAAGAGCAGCAACTGCTCTTCAGTGCTGAGCCACCTTTACCCACAGATGTTATCTTTAGCTTAGGGATTGGTAGAAGCTAATGATCTGCTAAGTTTAACAGTACATTCCAGGGCTTTACCTAATAGTAACCAAAATGTTAAGTCAGAGATAGCAAATGGCTATCAAAAGGGATGAGAAGGCCATAATTGGTGTAGGTTTGTATCTTCTCAGAAGATTGATGCTAGAAGATAAAAAGTTCAAGGGCACCCTGGAAAATTCAATGAAGCATATCTCAAAATAAAATGTAAAATGAAGGCTGTGGATACACTTCAGTGGCAGAATGCGTGCTCAGAAAGCATGAGGCTATAGGTTCAATCAGTCCTCAGTGCTACAACAAAGAGGCAGAAACTAAAGATACCTGACATAATGTAGGTTTCAATCTACAACATCCACAGGCCTTCCAGTCAATAAGTCAGTCAGTGTGCAAGGCCGTCACTACCAGTGTGGCTTCCACAGAGCATGTTAGTTCAGATTGCAGACCTTCATTTAACTTTTGCTTACATCCCACCAAATTCCTGTTTCTTCTCTGTCATCTAACCACCACCACCTGCCAGAGCTAGGGATGAAGTCCAGGGCCTTGGGAAGGCTGGGCAAGGGCTCAGCTGCTGCCAGAACACGCACTTTTACATTTTGGATTCATTTGGTTCTGCTAGCTATGGTGTCCAACTTTAAAATATTCTCTCTCTCTCTCTCTCTCTCTCTCTCTCTCTCTCTCTCTCTCTCTCTCTCAGTCATTTCAATATGTGGTGACTGGGGAATCTTAGGTTCTCAGGATTGTCAATAAGCACCTTTACCTGCAAAGCCATTTCACTCAACTCACTGAACCCACACCTTGAATCTCTCTCTCTCTCTCCCTCCCTCCCTCCCCCCTCCCCACCCATCCCCCCTCTCTCAACATTTCCCCACCTCTCTGGATTGCCTTCCCCCCCTCTATCCTTCCAAAGTCATATGCTCAGCTATCACCAGAACATTAAGGTGGTTATTCAGTTTTCATGGCCCTGTATTTTTCCATGTCAGACTCACAGGGATAAGTTTGTTTTAAATAATGTTTAAAACATGGCTGGGGGGAGCTCAAATTTAAAAAAGAGAAAATCTTTACAGAAGATCCATTTTGAGTCCCGTCATTCCCTCATTTCCTCAATATTTAATGAGAGGTAGTTCAGCACCAGGCTATATTTAGGCCATGGAGACCTAGCAATGAAAAAGAAATCCAGTCCTGGAGAAATTTGTGCTTTGTATGGGGGTGGGGGTTGGGGGGGAAGAGGCTGGAGAGCCAGCTTAGAAAGTAAAATGCTTGAGGACAAGAGTTCAGATACCAAGTACTCACAGAAAAACTAGGTGTGCTATCCATATCTGTGACTCTAGAACTGGGGGAGTGGAGTCTGGGGGATCCCCAGAGCTTCATAGCCTGTGAGTCTAGCAAATCAGTGTGATCGCGATCAGTGAGAACCTTGTCTCTCACTTCAGATAGGCTAAGAAGGAGATCTGGAGAGATGGATTGGCTATTAAGAGCACTTGGTACTCTTGCAGAAGACCCAGGTTCAACTCCCATCACCTACATGGAAAGTCTCCAGCATCAGCAACTCCAGTTCCAAAAGGTTGATCTGACACACTCTTCTGAACTCTGGAGGCACAAAATATGTTTGTGGTGCACATCATACTTGTGGGCAAAACACCTACACATAAAATCAAATAGATAGAAAAGAATAACATCAGGTGCAAGGGCTGGGGCTGTAACTCAAGAGGAATAGTCCTAGGTTTGCATGTGTGAGTCTTTAGGTTTAATCCTTAGAACTGTCAAAAATGATGATGATGATGATGTGGTGGTGGTGGTGGTTGTGATGTGGAGAACAGTAGAGGAAAGATACCCTTGGCATGACACACACACACATGCATACTCACACACAAATGTCCCCATACAAATAGGTGCGCGCGCGTGCGCACACACACACACACACACACACACACACACACACACAAATAACTAGGGCTGGGTCTGCAGTTAGCAGAATGGTTAACATACACAAAATTGTGGGTTAGGTCCCCAGCACTATATAAAACAGGTGTGGTCCTGTACACCTGTCATCCTATGACTCAAGGTAGAAGCAGGAAAATCAAAAGTTCAAGGTATAAAGCCCTCCAGGCTGGAGGGCCTCAGGCCACACCCTACAGAAAAAGAAAAGCCCAAGATCAGGCCACAAAATCCCACAAATTCCAGGCCATCCTGGAAAGCACTACCCCCCAGCCCACCCCCCAAATAAAACCCTATATAAAAGCTGCCTTCTGCTCAGTTCTTCACTTCTCTCTTGAGCAGTCAGTCATCGTCTTGTGTCTTTCCCATTAAATCTCTGTGTGAGGTTTGTTGTGTGTTGTGACTTTATGGTATTCCTTGGCTCTTGACTGCCAGGATACCTTTCCCCTCAGAGCTGTACCAGGTACCATATTCGGAAAGGCTCCCCTGGTGCCTGGGCTCCCTTTTGGGGTCTAAGCTTCACTGGGATCTTATCTTTCATCTCCTGTAACAAACTCACCTTCTAGCTCACTGATTGCTTGACACCCCCATCCACCAGTGACAGTTGGGTAAGTTCCCCCTTTGGTTAGTTTAAACACTTGCCTGAGCCAGAAGAAGAGACTATTGGGTGTCTGGCACCCCTCTGGTACTCTTGGGGGCAGAGGTACCCCAGTCATGGTCTTTAGGTCTGTAGTAGGCCCTCTTCACCTAACCCCTGAACCTCCCAAACCCCCAGTTGGAATCTTGCAGTTTTCTTAGGCACCACCCAGCTATTGTGTCCCTTCCTGCCTTTTTCTCCTGCTTTCCCCTTGGTTCTGCCCATAGTCCCACAGCTCCTCTAGGCCCTAGTGGCTTTTGTAGCTCCATTTCCCAACTCTTCCCTTTGTAAGAGAAACTCCTCCTAAAGCTTGGTTTTTGTCCTCACCTTCTGGCCTCCACCACCGCCCCCCCAACCCACCCCACGGTACAAGGTGCTAAGCAAGGCTAACTTGCTGACTCTCGTTGAGTGTGGTGACTGCACACTGACCTACTTGTGTCTTCCTCCAGTACTCCCTGAATCCTGGGAACACAAGCAACTATAGGAAGTGGTGACATGGCTATCTCTGGAACACAGCTTCTTTGTGCTTTCAGAAAACACTTCCCAGAATATTTCATCTCAATGATGCTAGTCTCTTCTTAACCACTACTTATTTCTTAGCCCCAGCTAACCAGCACCAATAATCCCAGTAATGCAAAAGTTCTACTTTAGTAGTTCAGGTATCTTATTAATCACAGCTGATTCTTCAGCCCTAACTAACCAAAACCACAGAATCTTCACAATCAAAATAGTAACAGCCCTGATAAGAGTCTTTCTTTAATCTTCCCTGTGAAATTTCACAAGCCAGGCCCTCATCTTCTGCACTGTTCTCAACATTATCTTCCAAGCTCCTATAGAACATCCCACAGAGTTCTTAACATCTCAATGGCTCTTCTAGCTCAAAGTTCTAAAGTCCTTTTACAGTCCTCTCCTAAACATGGTCAGGTTGTCACAGGAATACCCCACTTTGGGTACCAATTTGTCTTAGTCAGGGTTTTTATTCCTGCACAAACATCATGACCAAGAAGCAAGTTAGGGAAGGAAGGATTTAATTCAGCTTACACTTCCGCATTGCTGTTCATCACCAAAGAAAGTCAGGACTGGAACTCAAGCAGGTCAGAAAGCAGGAGCTGAGCTGATGCAGAGGCAATGGAGGAATGTTACTTACCGGCTTGCTTCCCCTGGCTTGCTCAGCTTGCTTTCTTATAGAACTGAAGACCACTAGCCCAAGGATGGCACCACCCACAATGGGCCCTCCTCCTGATCATTAATTGAGAAAATGCCTTACAGCTGGATCTCATGAAGACATTTCCTCAAGGGAGGCTCCTTTCTCTGTGATTAACTCCAGCTTGTATCAAGTTGACATGCAAAACCAGCCAGTACACTGGCTAAGGCCTTTCAGACAGTCATAGTAACTGACAAGGGCTCCCAAAGCCCAAGAACTTTGGAGTCCCTGCTTCAAATGCAGTCAGGAGGGTCATTGGAATGGGTCTGTCTGAACCCTTGGAGAGCATTCTGACCTTACCCATGATGTCATCAAGAGGGACATTGGGTCATTCACTGTCCTCATGTCCTTCGTGGTATGAGGGCTTTAAGCCTAGATCACCCTCCAGCTGAACTCCTAGGTCTGGTCATGGATGACTGGGGGGTGGGGCAGGCTCCTTTGGCCAGATCACTGCCATCTCGGACAGTGAGCCTTGGGTAGTCATCACACTATTAGGACAATCCATCTTCTGCCTTTTGGACACCAGGGCCTCTTAGTCCTGATGGAGTTTTGGGACCCACTTCTTATTCTGCTATAGTTGGGCAAGGGAACAGCCTTATCAGTGTTACAGAACGCCATCACTTAGTCGTATCTTTAGGTCTATTCCTATTACCTACTCCTTGCTAATGGTACCAACTTGCCCCATCCCCTTATTGGGAAGGAACCTTGTAGTTAAATTAGGAACCTCTATTTCTTTTGCTCCCCTAATCTGTTTGATTCCATGTTCCTACTTCTCCAAATCACACAATCTGACATACCTTTTCCCTTGCTGGCCTCCCAGATGTATCCCTGAGAATGAGACACCTAAAACCCCTCTACAGCCAAACATAACCTCTTCTAATCATCCAACTTCAAAATCCTGTCACTTGTCTCTCCAGGCAAGACCTGCCTGGCAGCCTGGCCATAGTTGTTTGGAAAGTTTTTGTCTGTCTGTGTGTGCAGATGGGTCTGTGTTTTCTGGTGTGTCTGTAAGTCTTGTGGGAAACATGGGAGCTGAGACGGAAATGGGTCGGGCTCATCTGAATTTATGAATGATGGTGCTCATCACATGTTTTGGTTCTGAGTGGTCTCCTTTAAGCATGTGAGCTTTGTGAACTCTGTGTTTATTGTTTTTTTTTTTTTCTCTGCCATTGCCAGCTGCCAGCTTTGAGAGTCAGGGCTCAGAATTTATCTCTGGGATTTCTGGTCACTAGATTCAGTTTAGCAGGGATTCAAATGTCTTTTAGGTATGGATAATATTAAATTATAATTAATATAGAGTTATTCTGCTTTATTGGATAGCTGGCTCTGGAGTTGTGTTATGATGCCCCCTCTTCTAGACCCAAACATGTTTAAAGGTTTTCTCCATAATCTCTGACCTGTGTCAGACAGGTCACCTGACTGTGACAGAGAACAGAGCAAAACAAAACAAAAGGACTTAATAGAACTTGCTTTGCAGAGACTGTTCTCAGTAATAAGTGTTCATGTCTCTGGTAAATGGTTAGATGGAGGATGTGAAAACTTATGTAAAGAATGAAAGACTAAGAATGTGAAAACTTATATGAGTATGGGGGTCCAAGAGCGTGTATAACAGATTCAAAAGCTTAAGAAAGTTCTAGAGGCATAAGAAAGTGGTTTAAGGTATGTAAATCAAAGTTCTGAAGGTACAAGAAGGTGAGTTAAGGCAATGAAAAAATGTTTCAGATGTCTTTCCCCTCTCTACGCTATTGGTATACTAAGAGTTCAAAGGTTAATGAAACCTATACTCAATGGTTCAACATGGTGGGTCTGAAGACTAATCACCAGCAGGTTGCTAATACTTTTTCCTATAACACCTACATCAATTTCTAAAACACCTGACTCCTATGTTTGCTTTCTCTATGATCAAATCAAAACCAGAGATTACTGTTGACATTGGTCAGACTTACGGAGGCTGCCCTTATCAGTCCTGTAAGAGACATAATGCATATTCAGAAAAGCATTCTACCTTTTATGCAGAATGGGAGAATCTTTTATATCCTCCTTAAGGATCCATAGCACCCCAGATGGGAAGACGGGGTCATTGGTAACCTTTATTATAACATTTATCACAGCTGCCCATTAGACATGTTCAAAATACAGAGTGCACACATCCTACTTTCTCAACCACTAGAAATAGACACAGTAAAAGAAGTGGTCTTATACATCCGAAATATCATCCTTCTTAGATGATACTGAGTCCACCTCCATGTCATAATAACTCGTTTCAGACCTTAACCTCCACATATCAGCTATTCAATAATGCTCTGCCCGACTTCTTTGAAGAATGTTGGTTGTATGTCCCTCCTGGGTCAAACTCATGACCACCATTTGTGGCCTTGCCCATTGGCTTATTAGACTCTCTCACATCGCCTGCTTAATAGCTCTAAACTAAGTATCACTACCAGCCCTTATCTCTTCCACAGTTCTCTCTTTCCTACCACAAACTACTTTACTCGTCAGGAACATGCTTTGTGGGCATGATGGATTCTGTAGACAGCAGTAATGCCTTACCCTTTAGTATTACCACACAGCCCCTATGCCCACACATTTATAACGCCCCGATTCTCTCGGGCACTCAGTTACTGCTGCCAACCGGCTGTGTGGTCTGGAACTATGCTCTGGTGTTCCTTTTTCCAAAACTCTGGGTGGTTCCCATTAAAGAACCCTTGCTAGTTCCTATCACAGAGTTTATAGCAGAAGGGGCATGACAAAAAGTTTAAGTCATACCCTTTCTTGCAGTTCTGGGTATAGTCATCTCAGTGGTGGGACTAACTTCCCTAACTATTGAAGTTTCATCTCAGTTTTCAACTCAGTTCATCCAGGACTTCAAATGTGTGGCTCAGAACATCCGTACTCTCCAGGGCCAAGTACGCTCACTAGCCACCACATTGCTATAAAATTGGCAAGGATCATATTTACTAACAGTGAAAGATAGGTGGTCTTTGTCTCTTCCTCAAGGAGGAATACTGCTTTTATGTCAACCAGTCACGTATAGTAAAAAGTAAGATCTGACAACTCAAAACAGATCTTCAAACATAAGAAACAATTCAATGCATCTGAGTAGTGGATCACTGACAGTCCAATATGGAATTGAATACTATCCTTCTTGACCTCCTCCCTCCTACTCCTTTTCTTAATCCTACTAGTTGCACCCGGCCATATAAGCTTCTTTTCTAGATTTCTTCAATAACACATCCAAAAGATTTCTAACCAGACTTTGAATCAGTTGCTATTACAGAATTACAGCCCCCTAGCTACGGAGTCAGAGGCCTGTAACTCCTGATTATCCCGACGCTGAAGATCAAACTTGCCCCAAGGACTCTGATGCTCCAGGTCAGCAAGAAGTAGTCTAATGATAACTTTGCCCCCTCTCCTGACCCGATTGTTCATCAATACTAAACAAAGAAGGGAGATATAAGCCTCTCGAGGCAAGAGTGGCTAGGCCTCCCCCTCCAAATTCTCCCTCATAACCCCCCAGACTTCTCTGATGGCAGTAACAGCTGTTCCCAGTCCCTTGAGGCAGGAGAGTGGCCAGGCCCCACCTTACATAAAAAAGCCCAAGATTAGGCCACAAAATCCTTTCAGTCTCAGCCTCCCTGGAAGCCACCCTCCAACTTCACCCCCACTAAGAAACACTGTATAGAGCCTGCCTCCTGCTCAGTCCTCTACTTCTCTCTGAAGCAGAGGCAGCAGCCCTCTTTTGTCTTTCCCAATAAATCTTTTGTGTTAGGTTTGCTATGCAGTGTGTCTCTGTGCTAGAAGTCCTTGACTTCTGACCGCCAGGATACCTTTCTCCTCAGAGCTGTCACACACAAGGTAGGCAACATCACAATATCCTGTAAATAAAAAAAAAAGTGTGTGTAGGATGATCAGTTACAGCACACATAAGATCATTTCAGATTAAGCTAAATGCAATAAAGTAATTGGTGAAAGTATATGAAAAGGCAACCAATTTCAGCGAAGTGTGAGGATAGGGACTCAAAGGTGACAGTTGACTACTGACACATGAGTAGGACCCAACTGTGGATGGAAGTATTTGAAGAAGGTACAGCTGTGCTGAAGAACCCACAATCTGGTGGACTAGCTAGAACTTTGGTGACTATAAAAAAGAAAGAAAGAAAAAAAAAAAGACTAGCAGATTGTGAGCCAAAACTATCCTGGGCTATCTTCAGACCTTTTAATAACCATCTACTAATAATCTCTGTATGTGGCCTAACATTTTGTGAATACTTGGCAAACTTGTGGAATGCATGTTTTTGTTTTGGTTGTTAGAGACAGGTCAGTCAGGGTTCAGATGGACCTTGAACTTGTTATATAGTACAAGTTAGCCTCAGATTCACAATTGTCTTGGTTTTGTCTTTGGAATACTGGGGTTATAGATATGTGTCACTCACCCCACTTGGAATGCGCTATAGAGCTTGCAGGGCAGTAGCCTGGACCAACTCTAAAGCTAACCATGTTACAAAGAAGCACCTGAAACCCAGGAGACACTTCATCCTGCTGCAGCTATAACCTTCCTGACATCTCTAACAATGCCATTTGGTAAATACACTGATTCATTACTTTTTGTTCTGTGATTATATAAGTTTATGAAACTGGGCAGGCAAGCTGGCTCAGCAGGTAAAGTTACTTGCCACTAATCCTGAGTTCAATTCCAATAACCCAAATGGGAGAAAGCGAGAACTGATTTCCACAAGCTGTTTAAGCTGTCCTCTGGCCTCCACGTGCATGCCATAACACATATACACTAGGTACAACAAATTTTAATAAAAAATGTTTCTTAAATTTATAAATCCTTGTTCACAGACACATGCCATTCAGGGTAACCCAATTTTGTGTAGCTGTGGCATGGACACCCATATTTGGCTCAGAATTGGTTTTTCTATCCCCTTCAGACCAAGACTTTTGCTTTGCATCAGGACAGTGATAAATAAAACTTAGATGGTAGAGTGCTGGATCATGGTAAACTGTCTGCCACACATGCAGGAGGACTTGAATTCAGATCCCAGGACCCATGTAAACACTGAGTGTGACCCAAATTAGTAATCACAGTTGGGGAGGTGGAGAAAGGTACATCCCTAGAACTCACTGGCTATGCAACCTAGCTAAATTATTAAGCTCCAGATTCAGTGAAAGACCCTGTATCAAAAAATAAAGTTGGGGCCAACCAGATCGCTCAGAGTATTAAGGAATTGCTGTGTACACCCGATGACTTAAGTTTGATTGCTGGAACCCATGGTGAGAGAACTGACTTCCAAAGGTTGTCTTCTAACCTCTACATATGTTTTGTTGCATGCACACACCAGCACCCTGCCACACTCTAATGACAAAACAATTAAAAAAGAATAAAGAGTGATCAAGGCAGAAGGAAGAGGCAGGGAGATCTCCGAGTTTGAGATCAGCATAGTGTATGTAGAGAATTTCAGGACAGCCAGGGCTACATACAGCGACCCTGTCTAAAAAATAAGGCGATCAAGTAAGTCACTTGGAATTGACCTCTGACCTTCATAGGTCCATATATACTTGTGCACATGTACCTGTACACACAGGTGCACACATCTGAGTGAACATGTAAATATAATACTATATGGTGCTGGGAACTGAACCCAGGTCCTCAGTAAGAGCAAGTGTTTTTAACTGCTGAGCCATCTCTCCAGTCCTACTAACCACTTACTGAATGCTATAATTTTATTTATTAATTGTTCACCTTCTATCCACAGCCTTTAAAATCTTAACTGGTGAAGTTTCAGGCTCTGATAAATAAAATTATCATACTTTTGAGTGTATACATGTTTATAACTGTACACATGTATGTAAGAGCATGTGGATACCAGAAGTCAAGATTGGGTGTCTTCCTCAATAGATTTTCACATTATTTTTTTAGACAGGGTCTCTCTCTGGCGTGGAACTTATCGATTCAGTTAGAATAGCTTGCCAGAGTATCCAAGGCCTGTCTCCTCCTCCTCAACACTGAGATTATCAGGTACATATTGTCATCTTCTGATTTTATGTGGCTGCTGGGGATCAGAACTCAGATCCTCATGTTTATGCAGCAAGTACTTGACAAACTACGCCATCTTTTTGTCCACATTTATACTTTTATCAAACCACAAATCCACTTTCACATAACTTTTTAAAAAATCTGAGTATCTTCAAATTCCTACTTTGTGTTTCAAATACATGTCTTACTTCAATAATGCCCTGCTTCCTTAACTCAGTAGTTTTGTGTTTTGAGACAAAGATCTGAGTATGCAATTCAGCTGGGCTCCAACTTCCTATGATGTTAGACTGTTCTTGAACTCATGATCCTCTTGCCTCAGCCTCAGTGGTGGTATTAGAGGTCTGTCTAGTCTCTTAACTCCAGTTTTTATGTCCAGTTCTTTATAGTCAAATGGCTTAACCTGTGAGATTTAATAAACATACCATTACACTCTTAAAAAGCACTGGCATCTCTGTTAAAATATTCATTAAACACAATTCTTGGTAAAATACTCCTGAAATGTTTATTCCCAATTTACAATTTTTATTAAGCAACTGGGCAAGTTTCAAATAGATTTACACACCATCTAACAGCTTACCATTAGTACTGAACTATCTCACTGTGGTGGTTTAAATAAGAATGACTGTCTAGGCTCATATATCTGAATAATTAGTCACCGGGGAATGGAATTCTTTGACAAAATTAGGACTTGGAGGTATGGCCTTGTTGGAGGAAGTGTGTCACTGGGGTAGACTTTGAAGTTTCAGAACCTCATGCCAGACCCAGAGTCTGCTGCCTACAGATCAGGATGCAGTTCTTAGCTACTGCTCCAGGGCCATGAATGACACTATGTTCCCACTAGCTGATAACAGACTAACTGAAACTGTTAAGCAAATCCCCAAATTAAATGCTTTCGTTTATAAGAATTGCTTTGGCCATGGTATCTCGTCACAACAATAGAACAGTGACTAAGGCACTCACCCAAAAGAGGTTCAACAACCTTGTTTCATAGATTATCTCTTTAGACACAGCTTTCTTTTTAAGTACAGTGTTAAAACAATACAAAGGTAGCGATTCTTCTAAAAGTAGTGTTGCATAAAATATGCTTTACTGGGAGTGATGGTACATCCATTCAATCCCCACATTCTGGACATAGAACTTTGAGTTGGGTCAGGTCTACAAATCAAGTTCTAGGCCAACAAGGGCTACATAAAATACATAGCTGGGTGGTGGTGGCACATGCCTTTAATCCCAGCACTTGGGAGGCAGAGCCAGGCAGATTTCTGAGTTCGAGGCCAGCCTGGTGTACAGAATGAGTTCCAGGACAGCCAGGGCTACACAGAGAAACCCTGTCGAAAAACCAAAAAAAAAAAAAAAAAAGAAAAGAAAAAAATAACATACATACATACATACATACATATGTACATTAAAAAAAGCATAACAAACATTTCCTATGTTCTGTGTCAGTGCCAATTAACTGTTAGGAAATAATGTACAGAGCAGATTTGAACAAGTTGACATTGAAATTTGTATCAGTGATATTATTTTTTTAAAGACCTATTTATTTATTTTATGCATGTGAGTACACCATCATTGCTCTCTTCAGACACACAGGAAGAGGGCATGGCACCAGACTCCTTATAAATGCTTGTGAGTCAACATGTGTTTGCTGGGAATTGAACTCAGGACCTTTGGAAGAGCAGTCGGTGCTCTTAACCGCTGAGCCATCGCTCCAGCCCAGTGATATTATTTTTTAGCCAACAGTATATAGTAAAACAATGCCTTCACATTCTAGCTATGTCTCAGCATATTGACTAATGTAAATATCAATGAAGAATTAAGATGAGCAGAGTGAGTCTGCAGTTAGCCAGTGGTGTGGTAGGGTTGAAGAAGCAAAATGCTAACTATATTACATATGAACTCACACTATGGTAGGGGTCATTATTTTGAGCCCTTTTTTTTTTTTTTTCTTTTTGTATTTGAAACTTTTTTGACAGAGGTAAGGGGAGGGAAGGAGGCAGGGGAGACAAAGACAGAGAGACAGAGACACAGCCAGTCAGTCCACTGTTGCCCTGTCTGGCCTAGAACTCTCTATGTATACCAGATGATAAGAGATCTGCCTGCTTCTGCCACTTGAGTGCTGGGATTACAGTTGTATAAATATACATGTCTTTCCCCTTTCTCTCAGCGCATGGCTTAAGAGGAACTTTAGGATCCCTGAGAATTACAGCCTAGGAGATTACAAGGCCTCTAGAGCTCCTTCGGTCTAAGGCTGCAGGGCAAACTCTAACAAAATCCAGGCTAGTTCCAGCCCACTATGTAGCCAATAAGAACCCCCAACTTTTGATCTCTATTTCCCCTAAGTACTAAGACTATAGGCTTGTGCCACCTCATCTGCTTTACATTTTTGGAAGTAAAAGGCAGACTACTTAAAGGCAGATTTGAAGTAAAAAATTTGAAGAAAGTTAGGATATTCCATATCTGATAGGTGGAGAATGGAAAAAGATAATAAGGGACATTAGATTGCTAAGTGAGGAATCTCCTTTCTGTTAGGAAAGGAAGAAGAGACAAATAGTACAGGTTACCCAGGATAGGAGGTTGCTCAACAAGGCAGCAGACAGGAAAACATTTCCTAGCAGCACTAGCTGGCACAGGAAGCAAAAGGCTGAAGGAGGTCAACAATAGTTTAGACAACAAAGCCAGACTTCATCTCAAGGAAATAAAAAAGATTTTGCTGAGTCAAGAGATTTATGGCAATACAACTGACCTTTATTCTTGCAGATTTGATATAAAAAAATTAATGCTCTTCTGAAGCTGCATTAATTAGAAAATTTATGTTGTTTAAAAAGTATGTCTCTGACACAGCAAAATCCAACATTTCTCTAAGAGAATGTCTCAAGACTTTCTTAGGCAGGAAAAACATTACTGTAGCACAAATCTAAACAAATAAAGTCATTTTATTAAATGAACTGAACTACTCATGTTCTTGGTCTCTTCAGATAATTCTTTTTTCTTTTTTTAATGTGCATTGGTATTTTGCTTACATGTATGTCTGCGTGATGGTATTAGATCCCCTGGAACTGGAGTTATAGACAGTTATGAGCTGCCATGTGGGTGCTGGGAATTCAACCAGGGTCCTCTGGAAGAGCAGCCATTGTTCTTAACCTCTGAGCCACCTCTACAGCCTCCTGGGTCTCTTCTGAACTAACATTTGGGACCACAGACCAAATAAAGAACGTGATTTTGATTATTGGATAGACAAAATGACTCTAAAAAGGTTCTCAATTCACTGAAACATTCCGGTTACCAAAAAAGGCAAGAAAAGAATGACAGAAGAATCATGAATTAGCACCAGGCCAAAATTAATTTAATTAGGCAAGGAAATAATTGACTTCCAGTCTTTGCCAGGCATGGCAGGACACACATTTGATCCAGCACTCAGAGGGAGGAGCCAGGCTGATGGACCTTTGAGTTCTAGGCCAGCTAGAACTGCATAGTAAAGCCTGTCTCAAGAAATAAAATTCAGGGTTTTCTTTTTATTTCCTTTTGACACAATGTCCCCTGTAGTTCAGACTGGCCTCAAACTTATATACAGCTGTATAACCTTGAACTTCAGATCTTCCTGACTCTACCTCTGGAATGCTGGCATTACTCATATATTCCACAAACACCTTTTCTATTATTTTCTTCCTTCAAAGACATTATACATAGATACTAATCAGTTTGGGGCAGAAAGATGTTACAAGAAAAAACACAAAACAACCCAGAAAAAAAAATGGGACCAGGTTGTGAATTGAACTTAAGTGGAGCCTCTTTTGTCAAAAGGGACAATTTGTGGAGTGTCAACCATGGAAACAAGCAAGCTGGTTGGAAGAGTGCCTGTGTATTCATTCTGTTTTCTCAGACTTTGGTACAGGCCTACAGAGACAAAACTGAGGTACTCTTGGCATTATCATTTAGGGAAAAACAGCAGTTCTTTGGTCTTTTTAGCCAGCTATCAAGAGACTTGTCTAAGGAATCCCTGTTTTGAATTGTCTGGGAATCCTCCAGGTCATATAGTTAGAAAGCAGATAGTTTCTTGGAAGATAAGTCTTTTTTTATCGACAGGCCCAGAACATGGGGGGTAGAAGGAAGAGCTGATCACATTTAGTGTCTGACATTTATGACCCATGTTATATGACTCCTGATACTTTCAATTTTGTTTTTAAAAAATTAAAAAATAAATATCTTATACTTATGAATATTTTCCATGTTTGTATACCTATGTATTACGTGTGTGCCTGGTACCTGAAATGTCCAAAAGATTATCTGGAAATGGAGTTACTGATGTTAGTGAACTTCACTGTGGGCCCGGGAAAATGAACCTGGGTTCTCTGGAAAAGCAGCTTTTTAACCACTGAGCCATCCTCCAGCCCTCAATTTTGTATTTTTATGAAAAAGGATTTTGATAAGACAATACTTTTACACACATCACCCTCATTTACTCAATTTTTGGAGACTAGTACTTGAAAAGATAAATGGGAAGAAGCCACTTCTCATTTTCAACTGAAAGAAGCTATTGAGTCTAATCAAGAATGGATAACATTATTCATTTTCTTCTGTGAACATCTTACTTAAATGCTTGACTAAAGCCACTAGTGAAGGGTTCCCACCACAGGCCTCAATCTGTTTATAGGCTTTAGCTTTAAGCTCTCGAAGAGTGTATCGAGTATATTCAAAAGAACCTACGTCCTCCAGGTACTGCACACAGTACTTTTTAATATCTATATTTTCTGTTCTCTGGCGCAGGATGTTCTGTACCTGCGTGCTTTCGGGCTTTGACCAAATGGCATGAATAGTGGGGAATGAGAACTTTCCTTCTGTTAAGTCTTCACAGAAACTTTTGTTTTCACTGTATTCTTTGGAGTGTAGATTGGCGTAATCATCTCTAATCTGGAAAAAGAGCCCAAGTGTGTCGAGCAGTGGCTTTAGATCTTCTTTGTAATCAGAGAACAACTGCATGAGACCTACTGCTAATCCAAACAAGCCACCTGTCTTCTGCAATACCATGGCTTTATATTCTTCTTCTGTTGGACAAGTGTAGGTGTCCCTCCAGTAAATATCTAGGCCTTGTCCCTGATGAAGTTCTAAAAGCTGGCGTGTAAAAAGCTTTACTGCATCTGGGTGATCAAGTGTTAAGACTTTTTCCAGGCCAAGGAAGTAGACATAATTCGCAGAATTAATGACAGATGGGATACCATAGATGCTGTGAGCCACTGGAAAACCACGCCGGAGCTTTGAATTGTCTTCAATATCATCAATGAGTAAACTGGCATTATGCAACATTTCAGTCACTTCAATGATAATCTAGAGAAAAACAACCAGAGAAGAAAATTTCACTAAGACAGACAGACAGACAGATACACACACACGTACACGGATTCAGACAAACATATATACAGAGACATTCAAAGGCTATTGTACGGAGACACAAAGGCTGTGTCAGTGTCCCATATGTGAGGAGAGGTGCCTTTGGAGGCCAGAGACATCAGATCCTCCTGGTAGGTTGTGAAGTGCTTGATGTGGATGCTGGGAATTGAGCTTAGGTTCTCTGCAAAAGCAGTACATACTCTTAATTAACATCAGAGCCATCTCTCCAGTCCAGATTTTCTTTTTTTTTTTGTTTTGAGACATGGTGTTCCTATGTGCCCAGCTTCTAAGTTCTGGGATTCTACCTGCGTACCACCATGCTTGGTCAAAACTGTTTGTACTTGATGATGTTTCTAAATTATTAAAGTCTCAGTTATCTTACGCTTTTTACAGCTAATAAATATTTAGTAGCCTTAATATATAATATTGTGTAAGCATTAAAAGAATAAGGATCTTGGGAGTACTTTTTTATGGGACACTTACTAATTCCTTGGTGATTAAATGGGGAAGAAGAATGAGACTCAGAATTGCCTAAGGACTGGGGTTGTGGCTCAATGGCAGAGCACTTGCCCAGAATGCTTAAAGTCCAGAATGTGGCCCCCACTAGGACAAAAAGAGAAGTAATCAGACTGCCTAGATACCTGTAGCTTGTCTTCTGGAACTTTCAGCCAGTGATTAAATGCCTGTGAAAGTTTGGTTCTCACCTGTTTACCTGCAATTAAAACATAAAATATGACAAAAAACCATTACTTTACTTAAGAATGATTTTAAAAAGACATTTATTTGTGTTTGTATGTACATGTGCACTCCATGTTACACTTGTGGAGATTAAAAGACAATGTGCAGGTTGTATGTGGGTCCTGGGATGGACATCAGATCTTAGGCTTGGTGTCAAGCACCTTTACTGGCTAAGCTACTTTATTGATATCCAAAACGTCACTACAAGAAAAATTGAAAACTTGCTTCAAAACTGAGGAGACTTAATAAAAGAGTCCTATCAACCCATTTCCTAGCTAGCTGAGTAGCCCTCAGATTCCTCATTATAAAGGACACAGTGGGGCTGAACTTACCCTCTTCATTTTACCATTTAAACTACACTTGGGTGGATGGAGGGATGCTCAGTGGTAAAGTGCCCTTGCTGCTCTTGTAGAGGACCCAAGTTTGGTTCCCAACATCCATCTTAGGTGGCTGACAACCATGTGTAACTCCAACTCCAGGAGATCCAAAGTTACTAAAGGACCCTCTGTAGTCCTCTGTGTGGACCTAGGTTCATATGTGTGTACTTCTCATCCCTAACACACATACACACACAATTAAAAATCAAAAAACAAAGTTTTTTAAAATGAGGGCTAACAAGAAAGTCTAAAGCACTTCAGTGAGTGTTAGTCTTAACCTGAATCATTCCACTGGGGGTGGAATGGGAATCTTTAGAGAACACAATTTAATCTCTTTCTTTTTTCTGAAAATGAAGACAGTCTGTTCAAGGACAATTAGCATTATCTGTCACACAAAACTTCAAGTATTTTGCCAGTGAATTTCCTCACAAGATTATTTGTCACTTTGCCAGGTGGTGGTGGCATAAGACTTAAATCCCAGCATTTGGGAGGCAGAAGCAGGCAGATCTCTGTGAGTTCAAGGCCAGCCTAGAATACAAAGCAAGTTTCAGGACAACTAGGGCTGGTTACACAGAGAAACCCTGTCTCAGGAAAAAACAAACCTATCATTTCTTTAAATGAAGATTTTAGAGACTAGAGCAACTCAGTTTTCATGGCCTCCATTTAACAAGTGCTGGCCTTGTGTGTTGACTAGGGCCACCAGGGCCACCAGGGCCTTTTAGCAGCATTTTCTTTGTCACATGGAAAATGAGAGATGTCTTGAGGTAGTAGATGCCAGTAGGAGTTAAATTAGCCCAAACATAAAGCAGTCATAGAAAAAAAAATACAACCTGTTCATTTAATAAAAATATAGGATAAGCTTCTAATACTGTAAATTCAGAACAAGCCTCAAGAAAACAGTTAAATAAAAGTTAACTTTCTGAGGCTAGAGAGATGGCTCACTGGTTAGGAGCACTTGCTGCTTTTCCAGAAGTTCCAGGTTTGATTCCCAGCATACATATGCTGACTTAGTATAACTGTAAGTTTAGTTCTAGTGGTCTGGTCTCCTCAGACACTAGCTATACAATGGATTGCACAGACATACACACACACAGCCAAAACCTCCACAAAACTTAAAAAGGGGAAAAAGTTGTTTTAGTCTGGGTCTGGGTGTAGTGATGCACACCTTTAATCTCAGCACCCAGAAGACAGATGGATCTCTGTGAGTTCGAGGTCAGCAAGACTCTAACTCAAAAAAAAAAAAAAGGTAAGTTTCTGGGGTAATGGTGTTAGGGCCAAGCCTCATGATCTAAATTCCATCCCGAGGATCTTCCGAGTGCCACATACACTCCAACTAAATAAATTAATGAAAGAAAGAGTTGGGTTGGACAGATGACTTACGGATTAAGAATGAGTTAAGAGTTAAGGTCCTGTAGAAGAGCTGGGTTTGGTTCCTAGCACCAACATCAAATGCCTCATCACTGGGTGTTGTTTCTAGCTCCAGAGGATCTAACATCGTCTTCTGACCACAGGCACTTAAGACTCATGTGTACATACCCTCCCACAGACACACAATTAACAGAAAGAAAAAATAACCCTTTAGCATTGGCTAAAGCATACCTATAATCCCAACAATTAAAAAACAGGGGCAGGAAGTTCACCACAAATTCTAGGCCAGCCTGTGGTACATATTGAGTTTTAGGCCAGCCCAGGGTTGTATTAATGAGATTTTGTCTCCATAAAACAGAAACATTTCATATACTGTTCTTTGAATAATTCCTCTCATAGAGGTATTACTTCAAATAGAAGATCTCAAGAACCATTTAAGTTTAAACTTACATTTAAATGACTACTCTCTGAAAACTATGACACAAACATACAGACGCACAGAGACACACAGAGACACACAGACACACACATACACTAACTGAACTATTTGTTACCTGGTAATTGAAGTAAGTACCTATAAGGCTCTAGAAGAATTCTTTCAGCTTTCTCTTTAGTTTTCTCCATGTTTTATAAATTTCAAAGTTGATCTGTTAAAAAAGAGAAATATAAAAATGATTTCACAAATTAAATTACTTTTAAGTGTTATATGGCAAAGGAATTTTTGTCAAGATTTTTTTTTGAATGACAGAGTTAAAATTTTATCTATACAGCTAAATATTTCATATATAAAATCTTGAAACCATTACATAAAGAAAGCAAAAGGAGGCAGCCACAAAAGAACAGGCTGTATGATCCTATTTATAGAAAATGTTCTGAATCAGGCAACCTATACAGATGGGATAACAGGTTAGTGGTTGTTGGCGCAGAAAAAATAAAGACCGAATATTACTAACAGATTATAAAGATGAATGTATTTGTATACAGAATCAAAATGTTACTAGGATGTGGTGACGGCTGTATACTGTGAATGAACTAAAAAAAAAAAAAAATCTAAATTTTAATTTTTAAAGAAGTTTTTTGAAGAAGGTCTTACACTGTAGCTCAGCTGGCCTCAAACTTGTGATCATCTTGCCTCAGTGCTGAAATTACACAAACACACCACCATAGCTAGTTTTGTCCTGAGATACAGTCTTCTTATGATGTACAAGATGGCCTTGAAATTATGGGTTCAAGTCACCAAACCCACCTTGAATTATATACTTTTGATGACTGGTATATTACCTCAAGTTTCTAAAAACAAAACAAAAAAAATTCTTCATTCCATTGATAATACTATTTAGTTGATTTTGAAGTAATTTTCTTAGATGACCTACAGTAAACTTTCCTAGTTAATTAATCATAAAGGACTTAAATTGTTGACATCAAATAAATGCCAAAACAAATTAAAAAATTGACATTTCTATAATGATTACAAATTAGCAAATGCTCTATGATTAAGATAGCTGTATTTGTAATTTGTGAAGATTACTTATCTCAAACCAATAAATTTTGGACTGTTTTCAAGATGCATACTCATTTGAATATAATTATTTTGTGTAATTAGTGTTGAATTATTGAATTCTGTATTTACTTCAATACTTCCTAGAATATAAATCACGGCATGCATGCATGTATTTCTTTGAGACAAGGTATACGTAGCCTCAGCTAGCTTTGAATTCCTTCCTGACCCTTCTGCCTCTACTCCCAAATACTGGGATTCCAGACGATGCCATCATGCCCAGCTTCAATCCTGGTTTTCGCAGGGGCCTCCTTTAGTGGTGAATCTTCTGTTTCTTTGCAAATATTGATGTCCATTTTTCTCCTCAATGGCCCTGTTTTTCCTACTATGACACTTCTGGCAACCTTTAGGAGCTATGAGTTGTGTCTTCTTTGAGGATCACCATTTTGGTCTGTAGGATCAGAAGTCCTCTTCTAATAACCTTTCATGGATTTACTCTGTATTTGTAAATATAAAACCAAATATAATATGGCTACATAATGGTAGCTTATGATTATTGCTAGTCAAAGTGCTGCATGTCACAGGTTTTGGAATTGGAAGGCACCTGAGATGGTTAGTGTTGTCAACTTCACAGGCTCTAGAAACAGGGACTCAGTTCTCCTGCATCATGTGAATCCCATGGACTGAAAAGCTCAGGTTGTCAGGCTTGGTGGCAAACGCAGGTAACTAGAGCCATGTGCTGACTCTATACACAAAATTTAGAGAGAGAGAGAGAGAAGGTAGGAGCTAAAAACTATCCTGACCACCACACACAAGCATTGAGGTATGGGGGCACTCACATATACAATAAATATCTGTGATACACAAAAACAATTTATGTGTGCATGTGTGTAAGTACATGTTTCATAGAGGCTATACAACCTTGAGGTCTTCTTCAATCATTTTTCACCTTATATTTTTATAGTTGAGATAAGTTTCATCACTCAGTCTTGGCCTTGTTAATTGCTACTAGACTGCCTGGCTAATTAATTCCTGGGATATGCCTAGTCTAGTGCTGGGGTTAGGAGTTGTGGAACTTGGCTTTTACAGGGGAATCTGAACTTGGGTCCTTATGCTTCATAGATGTGTCACAGACCGAGCCCATCTCTTCTACTAGCTATTCATTGAAGACAGATAAATGGAAATCAAGGAATAAAAGTGATGTATTTATTGTTCAGGTTGCTCTTTAGGAACACACACAAACATGCACGCTTTTTGTATTGTTTGTTTTTTGAGGAAGGATTTCCCTATGCAGTTCAGGCTGGGATGGAGTTCAGGTTTAGAATGAACAATCCTTTCTCAGCCTCCAGGTACTACGATTACATGTGCATCACCATATCCAGTGAAAAGCATATTTTAAAAAGTATTTGTTTATTTACTTTTGTGTGTGTGGTTGTCTTAGTTATTGCTTTTATTGCTGTAAAGAGACACCATGACCAGTTGGGTGTGGTGGCACATGCTTTTAAACCCAGCATGCAAAGGCACATGGATCTCTATGAGTTCGTAGCTAGTGTGGTCTGCATGGTGAGTTCTAAGATAGAGGGTGCTATGTAGAGAGACTCTGTCTCAAACAAACAAACAAGCAAACAATTCCACCAATAAAAAACACTACCACCACTACCACCACCTCCACCAAAAAACCCCATGATATTATGACTAAGGCAACTCATAAAACATAATTGGAGGCTTTCTTACAATTTCCGGGGATGAGTCTATGACCATCATGGTGGGGAGTATGCAAGCAAGCAAGCAGGCAGGAAAGCACGGCGTTGGATCAGTAGCTCAAAGCTTACATCTTATCCATAAACTGGAGGCAGAAAGCTAATTAGAAATGGCATGGGCCATTGGGGATGGGAGTGGAGGGGTAGGGAGAACAGGACTGAAGCCTTGAGGGCCAGCATATTTTTGGTAGTTTATTCTTAATAATATGTCAAATATCCATTAAAAAAAATCAGCAATCCATGAAAACAAATCAGTTCAGCAATATGAATTCAGGGAAATATCCTAAATAGAACATTTCTAGCCAAATGTGGTAGTACATGTCTGTAATCCCAGAAGCTGGGAAGTGGGGAAAAGAATCAGGGGTTCAGGGCTAGCTTGGGCTATCCTACACGTCTCATTCCCTCACTTCCTAAGGAAATGTTCTACATTGGCTTTGACTAGCAGTTACTATTAAGTACGTCACAGGAAAAAGAACATACATAAAAATATTTTGAACACCAACTTAGCAACATTTTTTTCTTCCCTGAGAAAGGATCTTGGCATGTATTCTAGACTGGCCTGGAGCTCCCTATGCAGTTGACTATGGCCTTGAATTCTTCATCGTCCTGCTCTGGCCTCTGGAGGAATGGGATTACAGTAGTTAATGCTGGACCTGTTGCTTGGTTCTTAGTGGTTAGCAATAAAGAAGATGCAAAGCAGGAAGGAGGCAGATAATGTTGGTAACAGCTCATTCTGGAAGAGGATTAAACATATGGTAAAAATGTTCTGGGTTTTTTTTTTTTTTTTTTTTTTGTGGTTTTGGATGAAGTCTAAAGGCTAGCAGTTATCTCTTCTCAACTAGGGTAGCAGCAAAAAGCATGCTTCTATCTTGTTTGCATCCTGGAAAACACATTTGATCTGACTTAAAATAAAATGAGGTCACCTTTCAAGAATTTGCCTCTGAGTCAATAGCAAGTAACATTTTGCACAGAAATTAAGAGTCCTTTAAAGATAAGTTTTCCTTACCTTTAATATTTCTCTACCCGTGATGAATTAAACACTATTTCCTTTGCTCACTCACATTTAGCAATATTCACGTAAGTCAATTAATGCTCTTTCTCAGAAAATATTTACACATAGTATTATCAGTGATGGGGTAAACATGAGAAATTCAATGTTTGGGAGTACTGAGAGACAATATGTTTTGTACTTTTTTTCTTAAGAGCCTAAGGCAGTTTGAGTTTTATACATTCTTGAAAAAACTATTTTAAATTCAGAACTGTCAATTTATCACAGAATTTTCAGCTTCTCATGTACTAGACTTAAAGTTAAGAGATAATAACAGCTGAGAGGCACAAACTCAGTTACTCTTACGTCAGTCACTACAGAATGTCTCTGTGAATCTAATACCATTTTCCCACTTTCAAAATCAAAAGCTTCTAGCAATTTGTTCAAAGAGTAGATTACTGAGTATTTCTGCAAACAGATTGTTTCCACTGTAGAAATGCAATTGCAGCTGCTTCTCTGATAGTCCTCTATATACTTTTCCTTTTTTTGAGACAGGGTCTATGTGGATCAAGCTAGCCTGGAACTCATTCTGTAGATCAGGCTGGTCTTAGGACTTGTTAGCACCACAATGCTAAGCTCTTCCTCTGCTTTTGGGTGAGTTATCACTTTAGCAATTCAAGTTGGGAATCCAAGATATCCTATTGTTCACTGGACCCATGGACCAGATAAAAACTTTTTATTTTTTATTTTTTCTTTTCTGGAGATAGGGTCATCCTGTGTAGTCTAGGCTTGCTTATAACTCAAAGAAATTCTCCTGTTTCAGTCTCCAGGGTGCTGGATCACCTAACTATCCCTCCTCGCCTCTCTGGGCCTCAGTTCTTCAAACTGGGAAATCTTTTTTCCTGAAACGGGTTTCCTTTCCTTTAGGGTCTTCCCTTAGTAACTCCAGCTGGCTTCTTGAACCAAGCTTAGTTCTCACTCTCTCAGGAAAGCATTTCTATACCTCTCTAAGCCAAAGCTCTAATTCACATCCTTCTAGCATGCTTCACTTCGAGTAGACTTTGGTTCAGGAAGTTGTACAGGATCTATCTCGTCTTTCCACATGAGGACTGAATGAATGCTTCTCCTAACACCTCAGAGGGTGAACTCAGTACATCAAACATTCTTAACAATATTGAAAATTTCATGCCTAGTATTTCTCTCTCTCTCTTTTTTAAACAAGCAGGCTCTGGCTTGAGACCAGCTAAACAGATATGGGCCACCGAGAAGCTCAGCTGTTAGGCGCACAGCAAGAACCTTTGACTCCAAGCCCGGGGAACGATGGCTCTGAAGGAAAATAAAGGGCTCCACACAGGCATTTGTTGTATTAGCTTGCAAGAGGGCTTCTTCCCTGCGCTGCACCGGTGGCCCTTCCACTCTTGCCGAGTTCCTCTGCCTCCCCCTCATTCCAGCACCGGGCCGCCAGTCACTCCGAGCTGGGTCAGCATCCGGGTCCTCTCTCCCTCCTTACTTCTTCCTCCTCCGTACCGCCCCCTCCCCCGCTCCCCATCCGGGTTCCCCCTGCCATCGCGCTGCTGCTCACGGTTCCACGATGATCTCAGACTTGAAGCCGCCGGTACGAGACTAGCAGTACCCACATCAACTTCTCACTTTATTGTTCAGACTGCGGCTCTTCCTGAAGCTTCCTTGGAGCCCTCCCCCTATTTCACACAGAAATCTCCGCCCTCCTCAGCGGCCAGCGACGCCGCAATACTCAGAGCAAGAAAATACGCCATCCCTATCATACTGCGCAGGCGTCATATGCCACCTCCCCTCTGCCTTATGGCCGCGCCTCCTTCCCCTCCCCGCTCTCGTCGAACTCAGGCAAGGGGGCATTGCGGTCTTGGTAGTTCTAATGTCCGTAAATTTGCCGATTGGCCTGGAAGACTGGACTACAATTCCCAGAAAGCATTGAGGCATAACTTTCTGTTTCCATAGAACTGGTGGGTAAATGGCGTCGTTGTTTGCATCGCTCAAACCAATAGAAACTTGCAAGAGGCGGGCTCCAAGGAATCCTACCCAATCCTAGGTCGTCTGAGAGGCATCCGGGAACGAGGTAGGGGAGGGGAAAAGAACCGAGGGGAGGGGAGAAGGGGCAGGGGGGCCAGAGTGGGGGAAAGCGATGTTTGCCCGTCAGTCGAGTCCGGAGTGAGGAGCTCGGGGGCTGGAGCGGAGGGAGAGTCTCGAGCCGCGGCTTGCCGCCGCGACGGCCACCGCCTGGACTTCTGCCTGGAGGGAGCCGCAGAAGGTCGGCCGCCGTGTTCCTCCGGAGGGCAGTGAGACCGGGGCCCGGACCTTCGTCCGAGAGGGATTTTTTTGTCGCCCCCTCCCCCCGCGAGGGAGCCGGAGCGGCCGCCAAACAAAGGTACCAGTCGCCGCCACGGGAGGAGGAGGAGTCGGAGCCGGAGTCCCGGCCGCCGGCGGACCCGCAGCTCCTTCGCTCTCTCTCCCCCAGGCCTGCTGGTGTTGGGAGGTGGCGGGGGGAGGCGGATCAGGGGGCTCTGGCCGCAGGGCTCAGACCTCGTCTGTGTCCGAGGTAGGGGCATTCTTTTTTTTATGGGGGAAAGCTCCGGGCCGGGCCGCGCATCGGGGCAGATGGCAACGGGGCTGAGTCGGTGCTCGCAGCGGGGCCTCGGCCTCCCGGGACCCCCGCCCCCCGCGGCGCGGAGCCGGAGCCGCCCTTCCCGGGCCGCACCGTGGGCCCGGCGGCCTCGGCTTGCGGTGCTGCGAGCTGAATGTCCTCGGTGCCCGGTCCCGGCTCCCACTTGTGGGCCTTGGCTCGGGCGGGACGCGGGCGGGCGCTCTGAGGCCGAGCCTCCGCAGCCCTAGGGCCCGCCGGTTCACTGAGGGCTCAGTCCCGGGGCTCCGGGCATCGCAGTTTCGTAGGCTTGGACGGTTGCAGCCGCGCTTCAGGCCGCGCCGGACCCTGGGCTTGTTGTGAGTTTTCTTCTGACAGAAATGGCGTCATCGTGGAGGACGGGGAAAAGTCCGTGGAGTCGCGACAATGGGGCGGCGAGCGGTGGGGGCGGTAGGGGTGCTGGGATGGCGCGTGCCTGCTCGGGGCTCCTGGCCCCACTCGGTGCCGCCCCCGCCCCTGCTGCCCGGGGTGGTGGTGGTGGTGCCACTGGTGCTGACCGGGTGTCTTTGTTTCCCCTCCTGGTGCAGGTGAAGCTGGTGTCGCCGTGGGGATCGCGGCTCCAGAGTCACCATGAAGGTAAGGCGTCACTCAGCCAGTTTGAGTGGCTTTCGAATTCAGGAAGTGTAGAGGCTGTGGCAGGCCTGCGAGTTTTGCAGAGGCAGATGTGTAGAGTGGCTCGGTGTGGAGCTTTCCCGGGAGACAGAGGGTCAGCTGGAGCGAACATCCACAGGCTGTGTCACGAAGTTGTGGAGTCAGTTAGGAGATACCTACCAAAGCTGCTAGGTTTCCCAAATAGAACAGTGCCTTTTGAATGGAACCAAAAGAACAACTGCGCGAGTTAAAGCGTCTTAAATCGTAAAACAGAAAGCTGGTCTAGTAACCTGAATTTCAAAACAGTAATGGTCTGTCTGTTACAACGATGACAGAAAATTTCATTTGATTATGTGACCAGGATCGTGAATTTAAAGCAGAAAGTCAAATATTTTAAAGATGTTTAAAGCAGTTTGGTGCTCTTTACCTATAGAGAGTTGATTTGGCCTGTTGTGCCTTATATTTCTAGGGAATTAGGGTTGTTTGGTTCATTTTTCTCTATGTTGATATACTGGACCTTGGAGTTGATTCATGCGTTTAAAGATATGTTGTGTGTAATGGTCAGGTTGTACTGAAGTAAACATGTTGACCACAGAATAGCTTCTAAGAAATGTAAGTGTCTAAGTAGTCTGTGTATTATTGGTGGAATAAATCATAGCTATTTTAGTTTGTTTTTAATCATAAACCTTTAGGTATCTGAAAAATATCTAGATTTAACTGGTGAACTTTGATTCTAGAATATTTTTTTCTTTAAAATCTATTACAAATTCAGAAATACTTGAGAAGCATGTGTGTATTTATAGGATTGAAATGTTAGAATGTAAATGTCATTTACTTTGACAGTTCTTTTGTATTTTTTTTTAAATTTCTTTCACTTGTCTTCAGTGAGGATTGCTTTTGTAGGACTACATCCAGGCACAGTTTTAAAAGCTTCTGTAGAAGAATACAAATGCTGTTGCCACTTAAGTATTTGTCTATTGTACAAAGCAGTTTAGACCCTTTTAAAGGTTTTTCCTTTTTGAGTTTGGGGCTTTGTAGAAGCTTGGTTTTTATTTTCTAAGTTCCTGTCTTTCCTATGAATGAAAATATAAGCAGTGTTATATGAGAGATGAAGCCTTTTTGTTTGTCACAGATATACAAGCTGTGTGAAACAGTGAAAAGTGAGTGTGTCAGGAACAAGTGAAGTCTTTAGGAAAGGTATGAATCTATCTTGTTGTTGGGTATAACTGGAGAAAAAGTTTTAAGTTTACTGTTACACATATATACTACACAATACATTCAGAAGCTGAATATTTGGAATAAATGTTGTGATCTGTTAGTTCCTATTGTGATGTCTGGCACATCTTAGATTCTCAGTAGATATTTGTTTGTCTGAAAGGGATGTACTAAGTTGAAGATGTCAATTTGTTTTTGTTTTTCTTAATTTTCATTTTCTGTGTAACAACTTTTCCCTATAAAGAGAAAGGAAGGTCGGTAGGTCAAGTGTGAGGGTGCATGGCTGTCAATCCCAGCAGTGGAAGGAGGATCAGTAGTTCAAGGACAGCCTGGGTTGTACAGTGAGTTACAGGTGAGCCTGGCCTCCATATTGAGTTGGAAGGCAGCCAAGTCTACACGAGACTTTAGTCTCCAACAAGCAATCAAAATAACAATGAAAGGAAAGTACACTAGAAACTTTAGCCTTAAAAGTTTCATGGTTTTAAACAAATGCCAATTTTTATGTATCTGTTACTGCCTTTAATATAAAGGTACTTTTTACTAGTAATGTTTAAAAAAAGTTGTTAAACTTTCATAAAAAAAAGAAGTTTTCTAATTTTAGCTTAGGAAGTTTGACAAAATCTATTATTACTAACCACTAGTACTAAAATATTGCTCCCAAGGGCCAGAGATGTAGCTCAGTGGTTAAGAGCCTACTGCTCTTTGTAGATAGGAGCTGAGTTCCCAGCACCTAGAACTCCAGCTTCAAGGGATCTAACCCCCTTTTCACCTCCACTTTGTTTCAGCATTTATTTACATAGTCACACACACATAAATAAACATAATAAAACATAAGTCTTAAAAAAAAATAAGTTTTCACTAGGCACACACCTTTAATTGCCAGCACTCAGGAGGTAGAGGCTGCAGATCTTAGTGGGTTTGAAGCCAGACTAAGCTACATAGTGAAACTGTCAAAGAAACAAAATAAAATGAAGGAAAGCTGTTTGGTGTTGAGTATATCAAGTCCAATTTTGTGTGTGACAGTTTTATGTAGCTTGTGTACATATGCGTGTGTGAAATGGCATTTGAGCTACAGAGTGATTTTTATGCTATCTGTTGAATCTTACCAAACAAATTCTACTTTGAAGCAAGTTTTTAAGTTTGAATTATTTGTCTTAACTGCTAATGTCACTAAGAATCTTATTGTTGCAGTGTATTGAGGTAATGATACGCTTTTGTTTGTCTTAAAGTCTTAAATGTAGAAAAGTTTAAATGTAGGAAAGCAGTTTTCCTATTGTACAACCTTTAAAAACCAATTAACACATGACTAGTGTGTGTGTCTGGAGAATTATTTTGTGATCTGTGAGAACTGTGCTTTGTCACATAAAAGCAGCCTGTTTTAGGATTGGTGCTGCTGTTGCTATGGACACTGCTGTTGGGTAGAGGTTGCTGGTGTCATGTTTTTTTTTATTTTTTGATAAAATATTAACATCTATTTATTTGTATGTGCGTGTACACTTAAATGAGGTCAGAGGACAACTTGTGGAAGTCTCTTTCCACCAAATGGGTCCTCAGGATTGAACTCAGGCTATAAGGTCCTATAATAAGGGCCTTTACATGCTGACTATCACAATAATCCTCATTTTTTCATACTTTCAGTTGGTAGAACATTTTAGCATCAATGGTGATACATTAGGAGATAGGCTATGGAAGTTCATAAATGCTTTTTTACAGTTAACTATGTCAGATTGATTCCTATTTTTCTTTCTTTCTTTCTTTCTTTCTTTCTTTCTTTCTTTCTTTCTTTCTTT